CATCTCTGGTTTTGTCATCGGTTAAGCATTCGTGCATAATGCCTTTTCTTTCTTTTCCTTCCTTTGTTTTTTCGGTTGTTTTTTGGTAAATACCAGTGCTCGGGGAAGTTTTATGGCCATTACCCACAAGAATAGACGTTTTCTCTCGGTTTGCTTATGTACTATCTATACAGGGGGGCCACAGCGTAAGTAGCGTTACTTAGGCTGCCATCGCTGAGGCCATACCATCACCTTTCATACATCCATGTTTCCTTTTCAGATGCACAACCCAGCCTACCACACAACTTAATCCCTAAACCTCCCACCACAGTAAATACATGTATCAAAAGCGTCACAGAGGATATCAATCAATCGATCATGCGGCCGCTGAGGCTGGGACCCACCCGCCGCGCCCATCCCTGGCCCAATCACACTGGGAAAATCGACGAGCTCCGCATCCAAGACCTCGCTACCACAAACTGAGCAACGCTTGGAAATCGACGGGTCCTGGATGGAGAGAAACGTCAAACCACATCGAGCTAGATTTACACATGGTGTCATTAGTACTTGTGGATGGAATTAATGGAAGGGTAAAGGTTCAAAAGAGGTGAGGGGGTGGGAGAGGAGGGGGAGAATCAGGGCACGCAGGCAGACAGGGCAGGGCTTCACACATGTTGGAATTCCATACACATTCTTAAGATCTACATGAGATCTTCAATCAGTGGATCTAAATGACCAATTATTATTCATATAAAATCATATAGGATTCTATTGGTTATGCCCAGGGCGCCGGTGCAGAATTCCATACACTAATTGAAACCACGCTAATTTTGCACCAACCTACGGACGAGAAATGTGATTTTTGTCGAGCTTTTAACATTTTTTTGTTGTTTTTCTAACATTACACAAATATTAACAAGTATTTCTCTTTATTCAGAGTCAGATAACAAACTGAATCTATTATTCACAACTTCAACTGCTATCATATTCTGCATATGTGTATCCCTTATTTTGTTTGAACAGAGGTTCTTGGTGACTTCTGTGATCTAATTTTTTGCCTCGCAGAAGATTCAGAGATAGCAGATTCAGAGAGTTGAGAATTCCTTCTTTTTTATTTATTGCTATCATTTACATCAGTAGAGACCGAGTTATTTGTCTGTACTGATGGCTTTCCTGATTTGGGAGCAAATATACATTCTTTTGAATTTGCAAAGTGAGGCTCTTTACAATTGGCAACCCATTGGAAGTTGAGACGTTGAAACCATTGGAAGTCGAACCCGCTGAACGAACCCGTTAACCCGTTGGACCCAAACCAGTGGGATGACACCATTTAAAAGTCAAACCCGCTGGACATGCCCGTTGAAGGTTATAGGGTTAGGGTTAAACTATCCAAGTTATACATAGTGCGTGGTCCGACGCGCCCCCGTCCGATTTTCTCCGTCCCTGATTGGCCGCCCGTGCGTGCTCCCGCTCCCGCCTCCGCGTGCCCGCAGTGGGGCCCGGGTCACAGTCGAGCTCCCTCTTCTCTTTCCCTTCCGCGGCAGCCAGCCACCTCATTACTTCACACTTTGCATGTACGCCGTAGTGCATATGAAATACCAACATATCCAAATCAATAGGCGATAATTCCGTCCGGGAAAGGGGTTACATTGTGGTGTCAAAGTCAATGAGTTGAGGTGCGATGTTTGATGGGGTAAGCCACCAACCCAACCAGACCCAACTCAATATATATATTTTCACCCAGGCAACGGAGCGGTGCAAAGCGGTGCAGGATCAACAAAGTAAATAAAAATAGCAAAACATATAAGAAAACTGAAAGGCTTCATTCTGGAGTGATTTTAAACACAGAAAAACAAACATTCACACCAGATCAGATCTGTCAAGTTTCACACAAAGACACTGAATGAAGGAAATATATATATATTCAATGCACAAGACAGACCCAGCATCGACATGGAACATCAATTATTTATCCACTGTGAATCATACCTCATTATCATATGCCGCCGGTGCAAGCACGCTATCCAACAGGTGGGGGTGGAATGGACGTCCATTCCATTCAGGGTTAGAAAACCGACCAATCAGAGCAGGGCAGATTGGACGTACATTTCATTTGGTTTCAGACGTTGAACGTCCAATCAACCACGGAGTCAATTGACTTCAAACTTTGCATGTAGGCCGTAGTGGATATGAAATACAACATATCCAAATCAAAAGCGATAATTCCGCCGGGAAGGGGTTAAATTTTAGTGTCAAAGTCAATGAGTTGAGGTGCGATGTTTGATGGGGTAAGCCATCAACCCAACCAGACCCAACTAAATATCTATATTTTCACCCCAGGCAACGGAGCGGCGCAAAGCGGTGCAAGATCAACAAAGTAAATAAAAATAGCAAAATATATAAAAAAACGGAAAGGCTTCATTCTATCCAACAGGTGGGGGTGGAATGGACGTCCATTCCATTCAGGGTTAGAAAACCGACCAATCAGAGCAGGGCAGATTGGACGTACATTCCATTTGGTTTCAGACGTTGAACGTCTAATCAACCACGGAGTCAATTGACTTCAAACTTTGCATGTAGGCCGTAGTGGATATGAAATACAACATATCCAAATCAAAAGCGATAATTCCGCCGGGAAGGGGTTACATTGTGGTGTCAAAGTCAATGAGTTGAGGTGCGATGTTTGATGGGGTAAGCCATCAACCCAACCAGACCCAACTAAATATCTATATTTTCACCCCAGGCAACGGAGCGGCGCAAAGCGGTGCAAGATCAACAAAGTAAATTAAAATAGCAAAATATATAAAAAAAATGAAAGGCTTCATTCTGGAGTGATTTTAAGCACAGAAAAACAAACATTAGTCGAACACGCTGGACCCAAACCCGTTGGACGTCAAACCCGTCCAAGGAGCCCATTCACCCATTGGACCCGAACCCGTTGGATGAACCCATCAACCTGTTGGAAGTCGAGCACGCTGGACGATTATATCAGAAGGTAGAGGGGGGGGTTCAAAAATATTGGAGTTTTAAAGAGCATTATCCCATACAATAATGGGCCAGGGTTAGGGTTACAAAGAGTGAGGGTAGAGGCTGGGGGGGAGGATGAGGTGGTCAGAGTCAGGGTTAGAGTGAGGGGTGTTCAGGGGTCGAACCCGTTGAACGAACCCGTCAACCCGTTGGACCCAAACCAGTGGGATGAAACCATTTAAAAGTCAAACCCGCTGGACATGCCCGTTGAAGGTTATAGGGTTAGGGTTAAACTATCCAAGTTCTACATAGTGCGTGGTCCGACGCGCCCCGGTCCGATTTTCTCCGTCCCTGATTGGCCGCCCGTGCGTGCTCCCGCTCCCGCCTCCGCGTGCCCGCAGTGGGGCCCGGTCACAGTCGAGCTCCCTCTTCCTCTTCCCTTCTCATATCTCATGGCACAGATGCTGGTGGTACAGCAGGCAGTTCAGATGGCCGAGGATGAGCAGGTGGAGCACCCTGCAGATGCGCTGGATGCCATGCGTGAACGCTTCCTCCTCCCAGGAGTGGCTGCCCCCTTTGGCTGGGTGACCCGGCTGCGGACATTCGGCAAGCGAGTGCAGAACACCACCACAAGTCTAGGGTATGTCTGCTGGAGCGATGACCAGCAGACTCTAAGCTATAGAGAGCTGCATCTAAGCATAGCAGGGCTCCGGCGCTTCGTGCGCACGCAGGTGGAGCTTACACAGCACAAGCTTGAGCAGCTCTTTCTTGTTCATGAAGAGGAAGCACGGGAGGTGGTAGTGCCACGCCTGGCACTGGCCCAGCTGGCGGACAGCCCTACAAACAATCATCGCGGCTGGAACTTCCTTCAAGCACCGCAGAACTGCAAGGCCCTTCCAACCACAGGGGAGCGATGGCTGCTGGACCGAGTCCTCACAACAGACAGGCTCCGGGCAGAGTGGGTAGCTGTACGGCCATCTGATCATCAGGTGGTCTGGGACACAGCAGTGGTAGATGACTATCAGAAGCGGGAAGAGTTATCTGAGAGCAACCTCCTGTCTTTTGTAAACCCAAACCCAACTCCTTTTAGTTATGCCAGGGGGCATCAGAGCTATGCGCACCAATCCATTCCCCCCAAC